GGCGAGTCGCGGCGACAGGCACACCCACACCAACACGCACACCCACACCCACACCCACACTCACACCCACACCCACACCCACACCCACACTCACACCCACACCCACACCCACACCCACCCACACCCACACCCACACCCACACGGACACCCTAATGTAAAAAATGTTATTGTAAAGTTTTGTATGCATTTCATATTCATCGTGGTATCGTCATTGGATATGAACAAACATCAAATACTGATACCATTTACTCTCTCACATGTTACATAATGCAAAATAAAATTAAGGCAAGAAGTCATGCCTTCCGGTTATAATCATGTTCGTATAGTTTTGTCAATGTTTGTTGAGTTTTACGCACATTTTTTTTCTCGTTGTCTAACATATAAAATTAAAATGTATCGTTTTCTCAGTGTCTCTATAAGCGATTCACATTCATTTATAAAAAAAAATAACAAGAGTGTTGATTATTGGCACAGACAATCAGCTAGATCTCAAACAAAATCAACTCTAACAATGAAGAATAAGAGACTTTTATTCTGGTTCATATTTTTTATGAGAATAGCTTTATGGCAACGGACGAGAGGAGCTCAACATACTGTGTATCGTATGAATCAGCAAACTTCAAATGAAATTGATGCGTCTCATATTGCTGATTGTTTATATTACTTCGTTCCCCATGACAATATTGAATCGAAGTCGCAAGATTCACAATTACATCATCGTGAGTTGATTCCATACTGTATTCCAGTTGATGACGAATTAGCCACATATATTCCAAAATTCACTCAAGGTCGACCAATAACATTCGATGATTTACGTCGAAAGAATGTTACTAGTGAATTATTGTATTCCTGGTCTACATCAGTTGATCTTGTAGAAGATTATGAAATCTATTTAAAAAATGGCACAATTATTAAAGATTCATCCGCAACGACTTTCTATAATTGTTCTCCAAGTTGGTTTGGACAACGGTGCCAATACACATTCAATGAATATCTTTCATTCGTACAGCCTACTTTTACATATGTAGTAACCCAAGTCTTTGATATTAAATTGAAAAGCTATACGATTAATACTGACAATACTCCTCACAAACATACCATTTATTCATGTTATACCCATATAAAGTGCAGAAATAATATACCATCTATATGTATTGATTGGCGTGAGATATGTGATGGTAAGGTTGATTGTTTAGATGATGGACAAGATGAAATGTTTTGTGCGGAACTCGAGATGAACGAATGTTCTGAAGATGAATATCGTTGTCATAATGGTGCTCAATGTATTCCGAAAGAGATGTTTAATGATGATAGATTCAATCCTGAATGTCTCGATGGTTCGGATGAACCTAAATTTTCATTAAATAATAGATGTGTTGGAGATCCATCTTTTCGTTGTGAGGAACGATCATGCATCAATTCTTTATATTTTTCATGTGGTGATGGTGAATGTGATTCAACACCTTTTCTTTTTATTAGAGAATTTATTGATGAAAGCAACTCATGTCGAAATGGACGTCATCGTTTTGTGTATGATATTATTTTGTCTCAAAACAAAAATAGGCATGTAAATCGTGATTGTTGGAAAGCTATGTTTGAACTTTTTAGTTATCATGGTGAATACGTTGATATTCATTCGAGCCATCCATGTTCTATTGATCAATTAACTGAAAAATGTTTAAGAATTATCCAGAGTAGTTGCCAGTCAACACCACAATTTGTCTTTCCAAGATCTTCGGCGGCATTTTTACGTGAGATTGATTTAGTCTACGATATTCATTTAATTTCGAGTGATAGAAACTCTGACTTGCGACCGAATTACATATGTTTCGCTAATCAACGATGCTCCGAATATTTCCATCAAACTACACAAATAGCTAATAAAACTGGATGTTTACGTTTACCATATTCATTTGGAACTGATAGTGATATCGATCTGATGACAGATGAATGGTATTATAATCTAATAGATTTAGTTCGAATGTGTATTCCAGTTGATAAAACTGCACTCAATATGACCCATTGTCGAGCAGATAATCTTATACATTGTCAGTTCAGTCAACATTGTATATCAAAACATCGTTTAATGGATACTTTTAATGATTGTTATCTTAATGCGGATGAAGAAGAGTTACTTGAACAAACGAGTTGTTCATTAAATGACAATTATCGTTATAAATGTTCAATCAAAAACTATAATGGAGTTGAAACAGTATGTCTATCATCAATATTGAATGAATATGATAGAGAAGAAATTTGCCTGGATGATAAAGATGTGTCGGATCGAATTAGAGAAGATAGCATCCAAACACCACCATTCAGTTTTCTATGTGATGGGTTTGTTGATATGGATAAAATTGACAATGAAACAGATGAGACTCATTGCGAAGATTGGTCATGTGATAATGTTTACACACGATGTGATGGAATATGGCATTGTCTGAATGGACTTGATGAAGCTAATTGTAATGATTTACTTTGTCCATCGTATACTTTTCCATGTCTTTTGCCATCGAATAATACACTGATATGTTTACCACTATCTAGAATGAATGATAATATAACTGATTGTAGAGGTGCGACAGATGAACGTCTATTTTGTCGTCATCATTATCCGAATCGAAAAACACATCGTTACAGATGTTGGAATGACAGTACATGTGTCGATACGAATCGTCTATGCGAAAAAGATCCTAAGTTTTGGCAATATCCATCCGAGTATAATGATTGTACAGTACACGGTGATGATGAGATTTTTTGTCCGTCGCATTATGCTAATGTTGGTATTTGTGATCCAGAATTTAATGGTGATTTAACAATTAAAGATAAAATTCTTTGTGCTTTAGCCGAAAAGTATTCACGTGGAGAAGATCGAATTGTCCGAGATGAACTTCACCTTTCATTGAACTCTGCTGATTATTATCCAGATACTTTATCTAGAAAAACAGAAACTGTAAATGATACAAATAATAACTTTTTACTCGAATCAAGATCACTAGATATATCATCATGGTCTAATATTGATTCTAAAACTGCATGGTATTGTTATCGAGGCATATATGTAATGGTAACTTCTAGACAATATTTAAAGTGTCTTTGTCCACCGAGTTATTATGGTCCTCGATGTGAAAATCAAAATCAACGTGTAAGTATGACATTAATATTTCGTAAGGAATCATTATCAAATATATGGCGCACCATTGTATTTAATTTTTTTATTATGTTAATCGACGAAGAACACACAATTATTTCCTATGAACAAATTCTTTATTCTTCAACACGAGACTGTAATTCAAAATTCGATATCAATTTACTATATGTAGATCAGCCAAAAAGTCAATCAAAAAACTATAGTATACATATCGATGCGTTCATTAAAAACAATCTTACTTATTATGCCAGTTGGTATCTACATATACTATTCCCGTTTTTACCAGTAAATCGTATTGCTTCAGTTCTCACTATTCCAATAAGAGCACAAGAACCACAGAATGATTGTAATGAGAATATTTGTAAATCACACGGCCGATGTATTCGTTATGTTTCTTCATCAAATTTCTTTTGTCAATGCGATTTAGGTTGGAAAGGACAATTTTGTCAAATTAAACGACATAATGAAGATAAATGTCATTGTTCACCGAATTCATTATGTATTGAATCTGGTCTCTGTCTGTGTCCCTTAAATCAATTTGGAAATCGATGTTATCTGACGAGATCGGCATGTAATATAGACACATGTTCAAATCGAGGACTTTGTGTGCCCCATGATGAACGCATATCTGAATCAAATTTTACTTGTATTTGTAACGATGGCTATTGGGGTAAACAATGTGAATATGTGTCAACACAGGTCGATATTTACTTTGATAATATACCTATTCCACAAGCAATGCATATACATCTAATAAAGGCATATAAGAATAATGAAGCAGTACATGAACGAACGACTACATTTACAAAAATTCCTATTGGTCAAGACTTTTCATCATTAAAGATTTTATCATTATTCAACATTCTCCTTGTAGAATTTCATAAATTGTATTATTTAGCTATTTTACAGGAAGCGCTTATATCACGAAAATATATATCTACTCAAGTAAATCCATCTCGGCAATGTTTATCTATTTATAGCTTATTAAATTCAACGCAATCCGCTTTACCTATTCTTCATCGAGTCAAGTATTATCATCGCATTTGTCGAACTTATCGAAATCTTGCCTGTTTTCACGATGATATTTACATGTGTTTGTGTAATTATGAACGACAAGCTAATTGCTTTTTATTCGATCATAATATGACATACGATTGTCAAAGTGCAACTTACTGCAAAAATAATGCACAATGTTACCAAGATCATCCGAAATGTCCAACAAAATTCTTATGTGTTTGTTCTGAATGTTTCTATGGTTCCCGGTGTCAATTTTCGACAGAAGGTGCCTCATTTTCACTCGATTTGATATTGACTTATCAGATACGACCGAATACTTCTCTTACAAATCAAAATTCAATAGTCACAGTTGGCGTATTCATGGCAATCATCATATTAAGCTTAGGCTTTATTAATAGTTTATTTTCCACAATCACTTTTCGATTTAAACAATCTCAACAAGTCGGATGTGGCATTTATTTAATAACAGCATCATTGGTATCATTTATTCCGATAGTCATGCTTGCATTAAAACTTTGCTTTATTTTTCTGGTACGAACATATTCGACGACCGATCCAATATATTTTTCTATTGGTTGTATACTTATTGATTTTATTCTGCAAATAACGTTAAATATGGAAAATTGGTTAACTGCTTGTGTAGCTATAGAACGAGCAATTAACGCATGCAAAGCAGCCAATTTTAATAAAATGAAAAGTAGATTCATTGCTAAACGACTCGTTCCTTTCCTTATTCTCATTACGATATTAACAGAACTACATGATCCATTTCATCGTCGATTAATTGACGATGAAGATCTATTTGATCGAAGAACCCTTTGTATTGTCATATATACTTCAGTAATGAAACAATTCAATCGTACACTTAATATTATCCATTTTATTATACCATTCATTATAAACATCATATCTGCAATAACGATTATCATTGTTACCACTCGACACCGTGCATCGACCCATAAACAGCTCGCTTTTAAGAAACATTTACAAAAACGTATAAAGGAGCATAAACATCTGGTCATTTCATCCATTATTCTTATTCTTTTAACAATACCCCGTGTGGTCTTTATGTTTCTTTCGGGATGTATGAAGTCCATTCGTGATCCATGGTATTTTCTTGCTGGTTACTTTGCTTCGTTTTTGCCTTCAATTTCTACATTCGTCACTTTTGTAGTACCTTCGAAAGTATACAGAGAAACTTTTTTCGGAGCAATGCGACTGATTTTCTGCCGCAAATAATATAAAGGGTGTCCCATAAGTTATGGGCCTCGATAAAAATTATTTTCTATATAAACAAAGAGTCACCAATACCTAACTATATTTATATAAGCTTCGAGCCTAGAAGACACTCTTTAGAATGGCTTATTATCAGTAGGGGTGGGAAGTTACCGTTCCCAGACCGTTACCCGGGAACGGTAACGGTAACGGTTTCTATGGAAGGAATTACCAGTTACCTGAGTAACTGGTAACGGGACCGTTACCAGTTACTTTTTCTTGGTAACTTTTCAAAAAGACTAAATATCACTTCTATGAGACTGAATATTGACAATACACCAGTAAACAAAATTTGTAGTAACCAGTTACCTGGGAACGGGTAACGGTAACTTCCCACCCCTAATTATGAGATGACATTTCGTCAGCTCACAATGGTAGCATAAGCATGAGAGTATTGATGATCAAAAACCTTCGAATCGACCAGTGTGTTTTGAAACATTTTAGTGGACTATAAACTGATCGTATGCTTAGAGAAAACGATATTCCGAATCGAGAACGAAATATTTTCTTTCGTTCTGTTGTCAAATGTTCATGATTCGTGCAGCTGGGGTGTAAGTCAGGTAAAAATACGGGTAGTGCTTCATAATATTGATCAGAAAAGTGGCTGAAATACTTTGTATCACTTTCTATGATTGTTTCTCTACACATAC